ATAACATATTAAAATGGCCCAGAGAATCATGGGAAGAGTGGAAGAAACAGACTCTGGGCTGAGCTTCCAGGAGCTAGTCCCAAAACCACAGAGTGAAGTCAGCCCTCCAAGGAGCTTCTGCCCTGACCTGCCACCATCAGGAAGCTAATGGCACAAGGAAGATGCCATAATCCACACCAGCACATGGACGTCCCAGGTCCGTCATGAGGAAGAGGATATCCACATATTCAGGACCACATCCAATGCGGCTCATTGGCAGAATGCAAGTCACACTGGGAATTCCAGGGGAAAGATGTCTGTGGAAAGTGCTGTTTTTCCCCTACACTTAGTAGCTTAGACCATAATTTATTATCCAAAGTAATGTACGCAATAGTGAAAGGAGGTGCTGTTAGTAAACAGACCAGAACCAGGGCTGCCTCAGCGTGGATTCCTAGGGAACAAGTCAGTCGACACCATCCGCCACAGGTCATGATGAGGAACAAAGGAAGCTTGAAGAACACAGCAGGATGGTCAAATCTAGTGTCAGGGGTCAGGGGAGGCCTCCAGAAAGAGATGTTATTTTAGCTGACACCTACAGGACATGTTCTCAAGGCAAGGATGCTGAAGTGGTTTGCCATTCCTTTTTCCAGTGGACCACTTTTTGTCATGAGTTTGAGCAAGCTCCGGGAGATGGTGACGGACAGGGAAATCTGGTGTGCTACAGTCCATGGGGTTGCAAAGAGTCGGACACAACTGAGTGACTGAACAACAACAAAAGGATGTGTGAAAGTGGGCCAGGTGAAAAGTGATGGGGTGGGGATGGGGCAGGATGTTCTAGGAAGACGTAGCATCCTTTGGAATGCTTCGGCCAAGATGCTGCATCTAAGAACTTAAAGAGCACAGTGTGGCCAGGGTGTACATAAGAGGATGAGGCAGGGGCCAGGACAGGGAAGGGCCTGTAGGCCAGGTTAAGGTGGCTGAACGCATCTGGAGGGCAGTGGCGATCATTTTCAGCTAAGATACCAGCAGATTTGTGTCTTTAGTATCCTGGTCAGGCTGCAGTATGGAGAACAGACCAGAGGCAGGCAAGAAGAGAGCTAGGACCCCAGGAAGGAGAACACAGTACCCGGTCTGGTCTAAAGAGCAAGACTTTGTTCTCCCAACTTCACCCCAGCCAGGGGGCTCCCCCGCCTCATGGGGCTGCGGGCGTGGCGGTTTTCCATTAAAGACCCGAACTGTTGTTGTTGTTCAGTCGCTGAGTCATGTCCGACTTTCTGTGACCCCATGGACTGTGGCCCACCAGGCTCCTCTGTCCGTGGGACTTCCCAGGCAAGCATACTGTCATGGGTTGCCATTTCCATCTTCCTGACCCAGGGATCAAACCCACATCTCCTGCATCGGCTGGCGGATTCCCTATCACTGAGCCACCAGGGAAGGGAAGCTTATGAAGACCTAGAAAGGCTCCGCCTTAGCAGTTACCAGGAGAGAAACAAGTCACATCGCTCCTGCTAACCAAAAGCGCGAGTGAGTTTAAAACAACCCTCCCCAAACCCACCCTACATCATTTCCTCAATCAGCCTAAGACTTCAACTCTCTTGCTGTAGCAGGAGGGCCATTTATAAAGGCCAACTCCAACTCCTGGGCAGCATCACTCTGTGGGCAGAATGTGCCACCAAGGGCCTCTCACGAGAAGTCTCCTATGTTCCCTTCTTCCCAAAATGGCTAAGAGGAGTGCTCTGAGCCCTCTGGGCAGTGAGGTGGGCTCTTCCCAGACAGTGAGCCTTCACAGGACCTGTGGCTGCGGCAGGCGGAGGTTTCAGGGCTGGGTTCCCCTGGTGCAAGGAACCTCTCTCTACTAGAAGCCGGGCCCCAGGTCAGCTCCACTACTCGGCCTGCACAAAGACTCTCTGTCCTGCAGCCAGCCCACCCTTCCTCTGTCCCTCGTGTCCTTGTTGTTTGTTGTTCAGTTGCTAACTCTCATCCAAATCTGTGAGCCCATGGACTGCAGCAGGCCAGGCTCCTCTGTCCTCCACTCTCTCTCGGAGTTTGCTCAGATTCATGTCCATTGAGTCAGTGATGCTCTCTAACCATCTCATCCTCTGACGTCCCCTTCTCCTTTTGCCTTTCACCTTTCCCAGCATTCCTGGGCTTCTCTGGTGGCTCAGACGGTAAAGAATCTGCCTGCAAAGTGGGAGGTGTGGGTCTGAACCCTGGGTCGGGGAGATTTCCCTGGAAAAGGAAATGGCAACCCCCTCCAGTGTTCTTGCCTGGAGAATCCTATGGACAGAGAAGCCTAGTGGGCTACAATCCATGGGTTGCAAGGAGTCAGACACAGCTGAGTGACAAACACTTTCCCAGCATCAGGGTCTCTCCGGATGAGCTGGCTCTTCACATCATGTCCTGCTACACCACCATCCCCCCCCACCCGCATCCTTAAGCCAGGGGCGAGTCGCCTCGCTCCTCCTCAGAAGCCCTGACCATGACAGTCTCTACAGCTGAGATGCTGAACTGGGCGTGATCATTTCTCCAGGAAAGTAGTTCTCAGAGCAAGGCTCCACAACCAGCAGGCAATACCATCACTTGAGAACCCATTGAAAGTACAAATTCTCCCCTCCCCAACCCTTCAGACAATTTGTGGGTTTTTTTTTTTTTTTGAAGAAAAAATTTTTAGCACCACCCAAATCTGCTGAATCAGAAACTCTAGGTGGAGCCCAGCAATCTGTGTTTTAGGAAGTTCTCCAGGGGACAACGACGCACATGGAGGTCTGAGGACCACTACTCTCAGAGAAAGGTCGTCAGGTTACCAGCTTTCTTCCCCAAAGTGGGTGTCATGAGCACATGCCCAGGGCCCCAGCAGGAAGGCACAGGCTACATCTTGGGTCTGAGATTTCTCAGTGACCATAAACATTTACCAGCATGAGTCACAGATGAGCCCTACTCTCAGGGGAAGAGGGTAATTGGGAAAAAGAGGGGAAAAGTCCATATTTCCAAATCAGAGAGAGAAAGGTGATGCGACACGGGGATGATTGAGTAATGCCATTCCTGAATCATATTCCTCCACTTTCCCGCCCACTTCCCAAATTTCTACACGGCTCATTCCCTGATCCAAGGACACTGGCCGTCCCCATGAGATTACTGAGGTGAGAGGCCTTCTCTCATCCTTCGCTTCCCCAGTGTGGACCCCTCTTCTGAGATTCAGAGGAGAAATCATTGCCCCAGTCTCAGTGGTCACTAACACCCGCTCCATCCCATCCCCTCCAACAACCATATCACTCTCCTGCCAAAATACCTACCTTCCATCACTCCCCCCAACCAACAGCAAAGTTCAGTCCCTCTGCCTGGCAGGCAAGGGTTTTCCTCCAACTAGGCTCCCATCACCTCTCACCCTCAGCGGCCACTGCTTTCTAGCCGGGACCCCAGGATCCACCCGGAACGCCTATCCCTGCTCCCTTTCACCCCTGCACCCTCTATCTCCACACGGCCCACAGAACCAGGCCTGGGAAGGCTAATTAACATCTGATTCTACCAACAGACAGAAAGCTGAACACAGTCCACCTGTGTTCCAAGCACTTTCTCCACAAGCGTGAAGGGGTTGCATGTGTTTAAAAAAAAAAAAAAAGGATAGGGCTTCCATAGTGGCCAAGTAGTAAAGAATCTGCCTGCCAAGGCAGAAGACCCGGGTTCAATCCCTGGTCCAGGAAAATCCCACATGCTGCAGGGCAACTAAGCCCGTGCACCACAACTAGTGAAGCCCAAGTACTCCAGAGCCTGGGCTCTGCAACGAGAGAAGCTGCGGCAATGAGAAGTCCACGCATTGCAACTAAAGAGTCGCCCCGGCTCGCTGCAACCAGAGAAAAGCTGGAGCAACAAGGAAGATCCAGCACGGCCAAAAATAAAAAAAGGAGGAACTGTAGGAAAAAGCACCATCTCTGGACCATTCCAAATCCTTCCCAGCACAAGCCCACCCTACCCGCCTCTGACTCTAACCTCTCTGTTTCAATGCTGTAACTGTCTCAGAATGACACTCCAAACACTTTCAGTTAGTTTCCTCAGCTGTTTCATAACAATCCTAGGAGGCTGGGAGGATCCGCTGCACAGAGATGTAAGTATGTAAATATGCGTATGTACACAGACATCACCTCACTTCTCCAGAGAGTGCAGGGTGATACACTGCACTGAAGATGCAGCATTTAGGGCAAGGAGGTTGACAGCAGGAAAGGACAAGTGTCATCTCAAAGCTCCATCTTCTCAAAGGTGAGGACAGCATAAGGACTCCCATACCTTGCCCTCCTGATTCCCCATCTCTGCCCGACCAGAGCTCAAGAGAGGCTGTCAAGAGTATACTCAGGTGGATTCCAGAACAAAGGCAACCACATCTCTGGCTGTCATCCTCAGATATGGATCAGGGCCAAGAGAAGACCCACATGGACAAGCTCCTCCTCGGGTGGCAGTCTCTGGACAACCCAGTACCGTAAGTGACTTCCCCAACGTCACGATGAATTTCCACTTGCCCTACCCCACCCCCTACCAACTGCTTGCCTATTAAAAAGGGATCAACATTCTAACCAGACTTTAAGGCTTATCCCCTACTGCCAACCCCAACCCCGGGGGGACAATCGGAATGCCACCTGGAAAGGGTTTCTGACTTTAGTTTGCTTAGATGGTAAAGAATCTGCCTGCAATGTGAGAGACCTAGGTTTGATCCCTGTGTCGGGAAGACCCTCTGGAGAAGGGAATGGCAACCCACTCTAGTATTCTTGCCTGGAAAATCCCATGGACAGAGCAGCCTGGCGGGCTACAGTCCACAGGGTCGAAAAGAGTTGGACACAACTAACTGACCAACATTACTACTACAGACATCCTCTAGTTTGGGTGATTCTCAAACCCAAACAGAGAGGGGGGATAAAAAAAGACAGATATGAGAAGTCTTGTGGTAGCACTATTCACAATAACAAAAACTTTGGAAGCAACCCAAGAGCCCATCAGCAGGAGAGTGGGTAAATAAACTAACCGACTCTTACAACAGAGCAGTGCACAGCGTGAATCAGCTGCAGCGGCAGCAATGCCGAGCGCAGATCGCAGGCTTCCGATACCTGCGTTCTGAGTGCTGCTCGCTCAAGGACGATTCACTCTTCAGGACTTCTCCTGAGATGGTCTGGAAGGACTGCCTGGATCTAAAGACAGGGAATCGGAGTGAAGGGAATGCTGGAATGCCGGGGGAATGAAAATACTAAAATAAAATCAGATCTCTTAACCAGATTTCAGCTTCCTTTGGGCACTTAGCCCCAAACTGTCACAGTCCCTTCTCTCTTTTTAAAGTATAACATACACACATGTAACACACCCAAGTCTTAAAGTGTACAGCTCAATGAAAGTGTCATTTTTTTAAAAATACAAATCTGATCACAGCGTTTTCTTTGCTCTGAACCCTTGACGGCCTCCCAGCACAAGCGAAACCCTATCTGGGACTTTCCTGGCAGTCTGGTAGTTAAGACTCCACGCTTCCACTTCAGCGGGCATGAGTTTGATCCCTGGTCAGAGAACTAAAGTCCCGCGTGCCACACACTGCAGTCAAAAACCAAACAAAAACAACTGGGATCAAATCTAAATCCCTTTTCCTGGCCTAGAAGTCACTGTGAGATCTGGCCCTTGCTGACCCCACCAACCTCATCAGGATCCAGTACCCTTCTTTCTGTCCCTTTAGCACATCAAGAGGATTCTTACCCCAGGGCCTTTGCACCTGCTATTCCCACTGCCAAGAATGCCCCTCCCCTAGATCTTCATAAGTCTCAGTTCAGATGTCACCTCCTCAAAATGGAGGGCCACCCAGTTTTTAAAAAAAAGCCTGCTCCCAAGGCATTCAAAGTCCCAACATCCTGTTTTATTTACCATATGTCACTATCTAACAGAGTTTTCTTTCTTTCATTTTGTTTACATGTTTATTATCTGTCTCCTCCTACTGACTGTAAACTCCACAATAGTGGGGACAGACTCGGCCTGTTTTCTTTCCCGAGCCCAGAGAGGCCAGTGCTTAGCACCCAGACAACGCCCAAAGAATAACTTTTCTTCTTGAATAACTTTTTATTTTTTTAATTTTTTGATTGGAGGATAATTGCTTTACAATCTTGTGCTAGCTTCTGCCACACATCAACATGAATCAGCCATCAGTGTGCGCATGCGCCCCCTCTCTTGAACCTCCCTCCCATCTCTCTCTCCATCCCACCCCTCTAGGTTGTCAGAGAGCTCCAGGTTGAGCTGCCTGTGTTATACCAGCAAATTCCCACTGGCTGTCTATTTTACATATGGTAACATACACATTTCAGTGTTACTTCTTCTTCAATTTGTCCGTCCCTCTCCTTTCCTCCACGTCCACAAGTCTATTCTCTATGTCTGAGTCTCCATCCCAAAGAATACCTGCTGAACGATGTGTTAATTCCCATGCCCCTCCTTATTGCCGTGTCCTCAAGTTTAGAACCCTCCTGTTCTTTGGTCTCAACCCCCAGTTAAACTACTATTAGCAATTTGAGGGGGAGGGACACCCCCTTCTGCAGCATCAATAGAGCTGAAGACACCCCCAGAAAACCAGAGAAGTCTATCTGGAGTTGGAATATTAAACAAAGTAAAGTGAAAAAAAAAGAAAGAAAGTAGAACATCAGGTGGAATGGAGGATCCAAAAGGAAGGTGGGGGGAGAGGCGCAGGCAGCCAGCCTTCCTTCCCCACCTCAGCAGCAAAGGCACCAAGGACAGGCCACCATCTGACCACATGGCCAAGAACCCCATGTTAACCTCTCCCCACGGCAGACAGAGGCAAGGAAAGGAAACCCCCAAGTACAGATGGTTTCTAGCATTTCTCAGCTGGTCACGGAAACTCGAGTCTGGTCCCGCGGCTCACACCTCTCTTTTTGTGCCAGCTGCACACATCCTGAAACGCGGGGGAAGGGGCGGTGGCCACCGCCGCCAAGAGGAGGGAGTGCTGTGAGCAGCCAAGGTCAGAGGCGCAATCTGGCCCGCAGAGCCACGCGCACCGTGGTTTACCCGCGGTCAAGGCCTCTGCTGTGGGAGGCACCCCTGGAGGTCAGGAGGCGGCTGAGGCGGGAGCAGGAACCGGGACAGAATCTGCTGACAGCCGGTCAGGCTACCCCTGAGGGCACTCTGGCTAGCGGCCCGAGCCTGGGGGAGTGGGTGACTTTGCACATTTTGTGCTTTGCTGGGAACGGTGATGAGAAAACAGTTGTAGTTTGCTACCCTCTGGAAACTCCCCAGCAGCCTGGTATCCTGAGGATTTGCCCAGCCTCTCAGATAGGAAACGGCCAACGCTGAAATCTACAGACGCTCATCAGTGTCACTGGTGTGTCTTCTGGGAGCAGGGGGAGAGGCGGGGAGGGAACCCAGGGCCTTCCACCAGGGAAAGCTGGGCCAGCTCCCCTGCCGGCCAGCACAGCTCCACCTCGCCCCAAGCCTCTGGTACTCTGTGCTCTCAGAAGAGCAAGTCTCCAGGGCTGGCTGGGAGCCCTCTGGTTTCCAGGAAAGGAAGCGGGTAGCCGGCAGTACAGCTTGCTCCCTGGGACTTACATGGCTTCCCCTGACTAGCAGGACACATGCCCACCTCACTCGCCCCCACACAAACCAACTTTTCAGGCGTCCAGTAAAAATGAGAATAAAACAGTGGGTTTGGGTTCTGGTCTGCCCCCTCACCCCAGCATTGAGAGAGCAACACAGAAATTTTGGGAGTCACAGAACACGGGGTCACAAGAGTAGGACATGACTTAGCGACTAAATAACAAAATCAAATATATCCCACTTTTCCTATAAGGTTTCTGCTTTTAGTAGCATACTTGGAAAACCCTTTGTCACCCTGAAATCATAGAAATACATACCTGCTTTTTTTCTGGCATTAAAAAAAGTTTACAGCTCTAATTTATTTGGAATTTAATCTGACATAGTGTGAGAAAGAGAAACTCACCTAAACAACAACAACAAAAAGGAGTTAGCTAATTACCCCAGTGTTTTTTAATGAACGGTCTATTTTCCCTGTAAACCTCAACAGTAAAGTCTATAAAGATAAGAAACAGGGGTGAAGTCAATCACATCCTTTGTGCAAAGAAAAGCCACAGGGGACCGTTCTGCCAGTGAAATCTAAGAGCATGGCTAGGGTGCTGTTTCCCATTCAGAAATACAGGTTCAAAGATCACGAGAAGGAAGTCCTACTTGCCAAGGATGGCAGAGCAGAAAGATCTGCTGAAGAGAGCCTGGGTTCCTGCAGGCACCCCTGAGCAGGGACCCAGCCTCCCTCTATGGCTAATCGCCAGACACTTTACATGCTGTTGCCTAAACTAGCCTTGTTGGACTCTGGTATTTGCATCTGAACACTCTTGTAACTCATCCACAATCCTTTCTTCCCTAATTTTATACCAATAGGAATTGCTAGGATTTACTGTTGCCAGGCACTGTGCTAAGCAATTTGTTTTCATTAGCTCATTTAATCTTCTCAATAACCTTACTAGGATAGATTCTACAGTACTTCTCTAATAATAAGTAGCAATGGCAGCTTTTCAGAGTGGAAAAAGATACTACATTAAATGCACACATCACTGAGACACCTCTCTAGTTCAGAAACATGAAAACAGAACAAAAAGGCATTTTAAAACTGAGGAATGGAAGTACACATTCAACAACAAATATCTATCAAGTACCAACCGTTGTGGGCACAGGGAATACAACAATGACCAAAAAGACAAGAATCCCTACCCTCTTGGAGCTTGCTCTAGTGCAAGGCTCATAACAGTGAAAAACTGTAAGCAATCTAAGCATACAATAGAAGGGAATTGCTGGGAATTCCCTGGTGGTCCAGTGGTTAGGACTCTATACTTACACTGCCAAGAGTGCAGGTTCAATCCCTGAAAGGGGAACTTTGATCCCACAAGCTACATGGTACAGTCAAATTAAGGGGGAAAAAAGGGAGGGGATTGCTAAAGTAATCCACATAACAAAATATATAGTTCAAGTACAGAGATTCAGAGCTTGGGCTCCATGTGCAACAGACCTCAGTGTAGATCCTGAAATACGCATTTACAAGCTTCAAGTCACAACATCAAGGAGACTTCCTATAGGAAAACAAAGCTACTAACAGTCTCCCTTGGAGTAAATGAGAAAACTGAGTAAGATACTAAGTATAAATACAACGCTAGATATATAGTAATGGCTCAATAAATGTTAATATTCAGGAAAACAATGACATGGAAAGACATCATATGCTAAGTGAAAAGAAAAAGAGAGGCTACAAAACTCTATGTATAGCAGAACCTGTTTTCCTTACAAAGTATGCATTCACAGAAAACGATGAACAATATTTAACAAGTTGCTAGTTCTTGGTGGTGAGTTTAACGGTGATTTCCGTTATTTTTTTACTCTGTATTTCCTACAATGAACCTGAATTACTTCAAGAAGAAGGTTCAGAGGGTTCTCTGTTGGCCTAGTGATTAGAGTTCCACGCTTTCACTGCCGTGGCCTAGGTTCAATCTTAAGTCAGAAACTTGGATGCAGCCAAAAAAAAAGGAGGAAAGTTCACTTTCGAGTTCAATTAGGAAATGGGAAAGGCGTAAGGATGCCCAACTGGAAGGCAGTTCTCTCCCCTTTTTTAAAGACCTTCACTTAAGAGCCTGACAGTGGATTCCAGCCCTAATCTGCATGGGCAGGACTTCCCATGTGCCTCGTCCCCTAACCTGGGTGCCCCCAGGAGCAGAGTCTCACCATGGTTCTTCTGAATCAGAGAGTCCTGGGTGAGACCCAGGTAACTGTACACACAGCCCTGATAGATTAGCCTGCCTCTCGTCTGAGGCACTGGTCTGACATTCTGGTCTAGTCAGGACTGCTGGACTAGACAGACTAGCTATAATATCCTGTGATTTACCTAAACTCTTTGAAGTCAGTTCCCCCTCTCTGGCCAAAGGGTACCACCGTTTCTGCCCTGCCCTTCCTACAGGGAAACTAATCCTCAGTGAGAACTCCTTGCACAGAGACAAGTTGTTGGCATTACAGAGTCTAGAATGTAGGGACTCTGAGGCCAGAGTCCTCAGTAACTGATACCCACCTGGTTCTCAGATGTGTAGCAACGTGAGGGAAGCAGGCGACCTGAGGCTGGGCCCTGGTCTCCCGAACAGCCAGGCCTGCCTTGTCTTTAAAAACAAATCTATCTTTTTTTTTGCAGTTCTGAGAACCAGAGTTGACAAAGGACAGTCCCCCATCCTGAGTGCGGCGGGTAGACTGTGCGTGCGTGGGTGCTCAGTCACTCAGTCGTGTCCGACTCTGCAACCCGCTGGACTGCAGCCCGCCAGGCTCCTCTGTCCATGAGACTCTCCAGGCAAGAACACTGGAGCAGGTCGCTGTGCCCTTCTCCAGAGGATCTTCCAAACCCAGGGCTCAAACCTGCTGTCTCCTGCAACTCCTGCATTGCAGGCGGATTCTTTACCCCTGAGCCACTGGGGAAGCCCAGCGGGCTGAATTCAGTTCAGTCGCTCAGTCGTGTCCGACTCATTGCGACCCCATGAGCTGCAGCACGCCAGGCCTCCCTGTCCATCACCAACTCCCGGAGCCTACCCAAACTCACGTCCATTGAGTCGGTGATGCCATCCAACCATCTCATCCTGTCGTCCCCTTCTCCTCCTGCCCTCAATCTTTCCCAGCATCAGGGTCTTTTCCAATGAGTCAGCTCTTCGCAT